ACGCACGCACGCACGCACGCACGCACACACACACACACTGCAGTCTCTGCTCTGATTGGCTTCAGCTGACCCAGGGGAGGGGTTTAAATGACCAACGTTTTTGAGCCTGAGAACTTTCTTATAAGAGAGAAAAAAGGAAGAAGTGAGAGGTAAAATACGCATTTAATTTCCCTCTGATACCACGAAACACCACCGCTTTCTGCTGCTTCACAGAAGACGGTTTAAAACAAAGGAGGAAACAAAAATGTGGGGGACTGGCTGCTCTGGTCTGGTTTGCTGCAGTGGCTCAAACCGAAGACTGCAGAGTCCTGGAATGAAAGACACAGATGCAGCACAGCAGCTCCAAAAATAAAAAAAATAAAAAAAATAAAAAATAAAGGCTGAGTGTTCCCGACTGAAGTGTCACCGTGATCAGCAGCTGCAAACAGCAGGCTGAAGGGAAAGGGTGGACTTACAGTTTGTCTCACAAAAGCTGTTCTGCTCATTTCCTTTGGCAATTCAAAAAAATGTGCTGCAGGATACCGAGTGGCGTTTCCACAGCTCAAACTGTGGCAGTAATTGCACAAGGTGTTTTATCTGCTCTGACAAACAGAAATATCTGATGCAGAAAAGTTGCACAGATGATGATGATTCATCCTTCTGAGTAATGGCCGCCAGGATTATTGTCTATACACACACATACACACACACAAGATACAAACAGGAAAAGAAGCGCTGCTAGCATTCAACCAAACAGCCTGTTCAAGTCTTGTGTGAAGCAAGTTGTAAAAATAATACTTGCAGTTAAAAGTTTTTTAGCAGTAAACAGTATTTTCTGCCATAGTGTGAATGAAATGTGAAAGCAAAACTGAAACCAGTTTTCAGAGCTATAACAAAAATAAATGTGATGGAAATATACTATCTGGTTAATTTCCTTCCAACTCGAACAGATTCACACTAACAAGACTTCCTTATCCTGCTTCCTTCATGACTGAGCTAACCAATCAGAACCCAGAAGGACCTCAGGTGAAAGTAAATACTGTATAAAAAAACAGAATTAGACTCACTGCCTTATCAACAGTTTTTAACACTCGAATATGTCAACACAAACATGAAAAGCTGCATACATATACATATACACACACACACACATATATATATATATATAGACATACATACATACTCAACCTTTATGTTCAGTCGATTGTCCAAGTATAGCATGAGTTTAGTAGGCCTGAACATTAATGGGTTGATTTAAGACAAAACAGAGAAAATCCATCATTTTCAAATTTGCTTTTTATCTAAACTCATGTTTTAGATTTTTATTAGTTACTTTCTGAGTTGTTCAAAACTGTATTACTAACTAATAAGTAGACCATCAAACAATAACAACTACTGTATATCATGACAGACACGTGATCAATATCAATAAAAATATATGTCCGATAGCATGTTGATAATTTCACTGAACTCTGACTCAGAACAGCATTCTGGGGGATGTAAGCAGAGGAAAGGCTTTAGCCGCTCGACCTCTTACGTCCCAGCTAAGCAAGGATGGCGGCATCAGCTCATTAATATATCACCTAGCCCTACAAATAAGAAACATTTAATTTGATTAAAATCAAGAACTCTGCAATAATTGGTTTGGATTAGAAACATGGCCCTTATAATGTGTTCTAAAATCTTTGGAAATGTTTTTGCTTTAACTTTGACCACTCTGCCTGATGAACAACATCCCCACAGCTTGACGCTGCCACCACCGTGCTTTACTGTAGGGACGGTGTTCTCAGCCTGATGACACGTGGTAGATTTGCCTGTTGCCTTTTATTCAGTGTACATTTTTATCTGACCACAGCACCTTGTGTGTAAAAACTTCTAAAAGGTCAACTTTTTCCCCCCCCTGACCACGTTTCTCTCTGCTAGGGTGACATTATCAATTTTTAAAAATAATAATAGATTTAATGTTTCTCTGTTGGTTGTTTGGGGTTTAGGAGACAAAAAAAGATGATCAAATCATCTCAGGACTAAAAGTGCAAACCAAGAAGCATGGTGGTGGAAATGTCATGATTTTGGGGTTGTGTTGCTGCCTCAGGAACTGGAGAGCTCACCTAAATGTATCTGTTTTTATTGTATCAAAGCATTCTGGGAAAATAGTGAGATCATCTGTTCTAAAGTCAAGGTTGGTCTGTAAATTAACCTGCCACCTGTACATTAATTTATAATGCTCGTGAAAAAAAAAGAAGAAACAAAGGATTATGAATGTCAGAATAAAGATTAGATTCTAATCTCACTTTAGTGCTGCGGGACATGAAATGATCAGGCCAGGCTATAAACCTGTCCAGAACAATATAAACTCTAAACTCTTCCTCATTTTTAGAAACTCCTAGACAAAAAGAAACACTGACTGTTATTCTAAAACTTTAAACCAATCACAAATACCTCTTTGTGAGTGCACGAAAAGCTCCAAAAGAAAAACAACAACAACAACAACAACATCCTAAAACTCGTTGTGTTTGTCATTGTTTTCTATGCTTTTAAATCTGTAGAGACAGAGTGCTGGGATGTTTTAAATCATTTTGCTCATTTAGATTTGATGCTGACATGACTCTAAAAAGCTGAGGTGGGGAAATGTTTATGTCTTTGCTGAACTGCCTCCTTCAATAATAATAATAATAATAATAATAATAATAATAATAATAATAAAGCACTCTGTAAGGACTTTCTTTAACCTCAGGAGGAAATTTGCTGGAAAACATTTGGATGTTGAACCACTTTTAGCTTTGATTACAGCATCTTTCCGACTGGATGGAACTGGATGCCCACTGATGTTGAGCGGCAGGTAAAACCGGTCGTCGGCTAGCCTCTTTTCGTTTTCTCCTGTTTTAATTTCAGGTTTAGTCAAAATCTGATCAGACTTTCTGCAGCGTTTTTTTTTATCTAAACCCAGCTGTACAACCAGGGATCATCCAGAGCTGGATCTTACCCGTTTGGTGGATCAGCTGACCCCGAAGCATCGCTGTTGTCTGGCAGCTGTAACCTGAAACACAGCAGCAGAATTGAGGCCGTTCAGAAGAGAAAAGTTAAGCTCGAGGGATGAAAACCATCTGAAAGTACAGCTTTTGTTTAAGAAACACAACCCTGGGAGCCAAAGAGGCACAAATGGTGATTTTTTTTTTTGTGACACTCCCAAGCTGCTCGTTTATGAATTGTTGAGTTTTATAGAAATAACTAAGTTGGGATTTCCCTATTAGACAGATTTTCTGGCGAGATAAAATCTAAAGAGTCCTACTTGAAATCTGTGATGACGGGATCCAGTTCTGGGACGTTTATGAACGACAACCTGAAATAAGAAATACAGATCAGCCCAAGGTTATTCATTACATTTGTTCTGATAGAAAACTATGTTTCTGTAAGAAAAGAAACAACTGAAAGCACAACTAGAACGTACCCGCTAGGGGAGTCCATGTCATCAGATGGGTCTTCTGCTTGAATTACACCTCTGTAAGAAAATCAGAGAAAATGTTAGAAATCATCTTGTGGTGATAAAAAAAAGGAGGATGTCAGTGAGGTGAGTGGAAGTTTATCCTAGTATCCAAAGGTTTTTAAATCTTTGTTGTAAAATGTGCATCAGTGTGTCGGCTGTTGGGAATTTCTTTTAGGAGTTTTATAGAAAGTGCTCTTTTTTCTTTGTTTTGTCTTTTAAAAAATGTATTTTTAGAAGTTTCAAAGAAAACGCAGGTGTAAAAACTACTGAAATCTCAAAAATAAATACATCTTTGTTAGTAAATAAATAAAATCCTAAAAATATTCATGTACCAACTTTACATTATGTTGTTGTTAATGACTCATTAGTTCAACACTGATCCAAACGGTCACAATACAGATTTGAAGGACAAACCTAATATAAGAAATATACTTTGCTCTGATATTTGCTTTTAATATGAAGGTTGCACATCTGTTGGCATCAAACTGGAACATCTGAGCTGATAATGATGGAGATTTTCCACATAAATGTGCCAGAAAAGAGCCAAATAAACTAGAAACCAGTTACATATTTAAAAGAAAGTGACACAGAATGTTGTAAACAAACCTTACAGTTTGAAAATATTTTTGAAAGAAATTAGCTTAAGAATGTTAAACTATACATTTAGAACCCTGGGGTTGTTTATATGTTAAAACCTAAATAAATGTGTAATTAGTCGTGTTACAATAAGATGCACGTCAGCAGTCCTGTCTGTAATCCTGCCTGACTGCACCATGAATAAAATGTGGTCTAACAGGATACAAACTGGTTGATGGGAGCAGAGAGAAGAATGCTTTAAAAAAAACATTTAGGTTTCCTTTTTACTCCACGGTGGTTGAAGTATATTTTTTTTGATTAAAAACAGTTTTATTATAACTTTAATTGAAGGTGACAGCTCAACAGTAGCAGCACAGGAACGTGTGTCAGGCTGAAATAATCTTATCTTCAGGTTTATCTTTAAGATAACCGAGTGGCAACAGAGGCACGTGACGATAAAACGATTAAACCGCCTCTGCAAGACTCGGAGACCGACTAGTACCGACAGGCGGAGAAGCAAAAGAGAGTTGTTTTATATATTTATTTTTTAAACTCACTTTTTGCTGTCATTCCTCTTCGCGGTTCGTTTCCAGGTAAAACTCATCCCACAGCGCCTGGGCCCCGGTGTCACACGGCTGTCATGGAGAGGGACACACACACTCACACACACACCGGCTGACAGGATGGGACACAAGCGGCTGGACAGTCACTTTCACGCGGACACGAGTGCAGAAGGAGGAGCAGCAGAGCAGCCGCGGAGCCTCTTCCTGCTTCCTGACGTGGAAAGGTGCGCTGCTCCCACGAACATAATAATGAAGACTTTTCTATTTAAACGCACAGGAATGTAGCTCCGCCGCTTGGTCCTAAAACCCTCCGCCTCCTAAAAGCCCAAGAAACTAGTTCCCGTAATAATGCACATTAAATAAACACAGAGTTATTAATTTGGTCATCAAATAAGTAAATAAATGATTGTTCATGTTAAAAATTGTAATTATTTTAATAAAAAACACTCATTTTATCAACTAACAATCCACTTTATGCATTGTAGGCTATTAAAAAGAAAATAAAAAAAGCATTTTGTTATCAGCCTACTACAGAAGGAGAAAATTTGCAAGTTTTTTAAAGAAAAAAATACCCACAAAGCAAAAACATTTAAATTTAGACGCTGAACATAAATATTCAAGAAATAAGGTCTGAATCAACATGATTTTCAAATGGGAAAAATGATCCTGCAGCTTCAGATACTATTTCTCACATCAACTTTCTCAGAAAAACTATTTCCCCAGTTTGGTTTAACTGGTTCTGCACTTTTCTGGTTTGTCTAATAAGGAAGTCTTTCATCATCACTGGTGACTTTTGTTTCCTTGCAGCCCCGAGGGAGTGCCTCAAGGCTGTGTATTTAGCACCTTTTTTTTTTTTTTTTTTGCATGATACATCTTAGTCAAAAATATCCCTCACTATTGCCTCAAATTTAATTGATGTACCATCACCAGTGCAACAATTTTGGAACAGTTTTATTTCCAAATAAAGGCAGATTCTTGGTATAAACTTAGCACAAAAAGTGCTAACTGCTCATCCCACAAATGCATGTTCCTTACAAATGTCACTATATAACAGGGAGATTAACAGGCTTTCCAAAGACAACAGATTTATTGCCAAGAAACATTGTTACAAAAAACTTTTAAAAAATCTACGTATCAAATTTATTTACCGTTTGTGTCAAGTTTAGATGGGTACTTAATTACTCTGGTCTGGACTCCCATCTACAGTATTTTGCGTCTTACATTAAATCCATGAAGAAATCAGACACCACCCACATCTAAAAGCTTCTCAATACACAATTCCGTTTACCTCATAAAACTCTGGAAAAATCCAATATATTTACAAAACTCTACTGCAAGTCTTACCTGCAATCAAACCTTGACAACTCATCACTACAGTCCTCGGCTTTGCTTTGAACCTCTCCTTCACACTTACATCTCATCCCAAAACCTCAGGTCTTCTGACCCCGACCTCTTTTCTACTCCTCACACCAGACAGTGTCACAACCTCAACCCTCTGGAATGCTCTCCCTGTTAACATTCACAATACTTAATCACTGGTCATAAGCAATTGTCTAATTGTATGGGATCATGGTACATCAGCTACACACAACAAAAAATTTAACATAAAAAAACAACTAAAGTATTATTTTAACCTTTATTTAGTTTCAGTTAAATGCATTACAGAGTCTGGCAAAACCTCCCAATAACGATTTTTTTTCCTTACAAGTTAGAAAAAACAAAATAAAATACAATTAGCCTTAGTTTTTAAAAACATTTTATGAGTAAGCCAACAAGCATGAAGTGGTTCCGGGTTGGTCTGTATAGAGGACAGTAACATTAACGGTGTAGTGGCCTTTATGGAACTGCCAAAGAGAAGCTCGGAGGACAGACATGCAAATCTTCTCTTGAATTTACAATAAACTTTAACGAGATGCTGCACTTGCTACAAAGTGCTGTTTTAAGAACAGGAACTGGTTTCGCTTAGAAGGAACACAAGATTTAAAACGGAACAGAGAAGAAGACTAGACAAGTGCCATCCATGATGTTGTGCTGTATTATAAATGAGACGAGAACAGGGGCCTTCAAATGCATCTTCTTTCTATAGATCAGTTCATTTTTTCCTTGGGGGGGGGGGGGGGGGKGCAACACAAACAAACTACAAATAATAATAAAAAGTCAATCCAGGCAGCTGTTGTATATCCTCTCTGCAAGGTAAGGTGACGTAGTTTAACGTGAGACTCGATCCTCAACATAAGGAAGTTTTTTGCAAGTAAAATTCTCAGACTGAAAACCACCCTTCTGACTTCCACGAGACTGAAATCCATCGAGTCCATCAGAGAGGAAAAATATCCTAGAAAAGTAAAGTTAGCACAAGTGTTGGGGAAAATAAAGGACCATTTATGGAACATTTCCAATTTGTATAATGAAATGACAATTGCACCCATAATAATTGGTTTATATTAAAAGAAATGTTTGAGCTTTAGGGACACTAATTAGACGTCTGAAGTGCCAATAAACAACGCAGGATTGCTGCTGAAATGCTTAAATTTATATTTGCTAATGCTCATATGCCACATTTATAAAAAATCTAAAGATATTTAATGGAAATGATACAGTTCAAGACAAATAATGTATCAAACACAAGGCCGAACTTTAGAGTTTATCTAAAAAGGTGAACATTCTGCTGTAGTGTTCCTTAAAGGTTTAATGCTAATCGTGGTTTAATCATGGCATAGTTTTTGTTCATATTGCCTCAAAAAAACAAAACAAAATAACAGTAATATAAAAAATAAGAAAATACAGAAAACTACAATTTAATTGTAGTGAAGCTGTTCTATGAATTTGACTTGCAGGGAAAATAAAGTCTCAGCTGCTTTTTGAAGCACGTTAGTGAAAACAGATAACATTTTGCTGCACAATGCTGGAAAAACAAATTTTAGCTGTTGATGTGTGGTGTTTTTTTAAGTTATGAAAGAACAGAAGAAACGTTTGGGGGATTTTCAGTTCTACGAAATCAGCACGTTGACTAAAATCTCATGAAATGGTCACAGTGAGGGATTTAAGGTGTAGTGAGTTTGGTTAGCCGTGCTTCTCACAGTGGCTGTTTTATTCTAGTTTTGAGTGCATGTTTAAATAAATTACATTCTGAAGAGTTAAAGTAGCGAGGTTTGCAAAAAAAAAAAAAGAAAAAAAGAAAAGAAGACGGCATGGTGCTCCTCTTCGGTCAAACCTGTAGAGACAAACCGGATGATGAAAGAAAAAAAGAACGCTGCTCTGAAACGTCAGCGAGCAATCGGAGGGAAGAAAGAGTTGAGCGATTTCAGACATCAGTTTTAAGTTCCTGCCTGGAGGGGGCGGGGCATCAGTCCTACTCAGTCCTCGCTTTTGCTTTGGTGATTGCCGGGCCGGGCTGTGCCGCGCCAAGGTTGGCCCATATGACGAAGAGAAACCTCCTCAGGAGAGTTCAGACTTGCTGAGAGCGATGGCGAGCTCCAGGTCCTCTTGCTCCTGCTGCGTGAGTCTTGCAAGTCGCTCCTTTTCCTCTCGCTCGCTCTCGCGCTTTGCCCACTCTATCATGTCTTCCTCGGTCGGATACTGCTCCATGAAACAGAGGAAAAAATTAAACACATTGGATGTCGTTTCGTCCGGCACTTATAAATGAACTGATTGCACAGAAACAGACGGAAAGGTCACATCTCCTCTTCTTTCCCTGAGACACAACCACAGCAGAAATAGAGCAACCCATTCCTCGGAATAAAAAAAGTGTTTCGTGTCAACACTGACAACTTTTCATCCCTTAGGTGTTTGTCATAACTGATTTTACAGAGACGTGATCAGGATGAAAGCAGGGTCTGGAGGGGGAAGGGGGAGGGTCAAGCAGCAAAGCTGGGATTTCCAAAAAGTCAAATGATCATAATCACACCAGTTTATAGGTCCACAACCACATAAAGAGGAAGCAAGGGGGCTTTAAAATAAACAGTCCACTGGTTAAGTTGGTTAATTGTGTTACAGACTGGTCATGCACGGAGCAAATGGGCTCATCACTCTCAGACTGACGAAAGAAAACAAGTCATCAGGTGTGTCAAGCCATGCAAAGAGAAGGAGGCAATCATGGGGAGAGCTCAGCCAGTTTTTATGACAACATGCAAACAATGCTTGATGAGAAGTTTTATGAAATCAAATGAATCACACAGGTGGTTCAAAACAAAGAATAAATAACACCTTAAAAACAAATCTGTAGATATGTTTAAGACTTTCAATACCTTTCCTTAGATTTTTCTCTCCAAATGCGTCAAAACACTGGGTGTTATTCGCACGTCTTTTTGGTTCACAGTAATCACATAAAATGCAAAATCCACAACAGGTGCTTTACATACACCTGCACAGAGACGCACACGTCTTTAAATCCACCACACTTTTCAACGAGACGACTAAAAGGAAGTCTTAAAGAGATCATGCTTTTGAAACAAAAAGTAGTACATGCACAACTTTTTCAATAAACTAAAATGCAAATGCACAGACAGAGATGTCATGGATGCACATAGAAGCCAGAGATGGTGGCCTTGATTCAACACTTTATTAAACAGTTTTTTTTAAACAAAGGTTTAAAAACACACAGAATACAGACTACAACACAGAGGCTGAAATCGGAACAACAAACTGATGAACGGATGAGAGGATAAACAGCTGGATGGAGGGGCAGAGGGAGGCATGAATCAGTAGCATCATGAGTGACAGCATGAGTGGAAGTGGGGAGGAAAATAAATCGTGATTTGAAGAACAGTGGAGGCAGTTTTTGTAAGTGAACAGCCAATCAATTAATTAAAAAACACAGTTAGTGTGGGTTAGATAGAAACATGCAGGTCAGGGTCATGAAAGTCAACACCCATCTTTTCACAGCCATCCATCCCCGAAATCTCAAAATCTTATATGCAGCATTAAGAAGAGTGGAGGTTAAAGAATTTAGTTTGATTTTCTAGTTGTTAATATTTAGGAGCAAACTACTATTATATTCTTTTTCAAAATAGTTAACTAGTGGTTGTAATTATTTTTCATTATAATGTGAAGAAGTGCAGATAAATATTTTTGTGTTAGAGTAGTTATTACAGCAACATGCAGTTGTTAAAAGGCACAACTTTACTTAAAGCCTTGTTTCTGTAATTATTTAGTAAATCAACAGGAATCTAAGCTTTAAGCTTGCAGATTCAGGGTTAATGTAATCACTTAAATCAAATGGGAGCGGAGGTATGAACAGTTAATATCTTACCTATTGTAGATAGCTTTTTGAGCAGCCTCCTCAGTTTGGAGAATTAAGAGTTTAATTCCGACTAAAATAAGGAGCTAACAGCTAGTCTGAGGATAGTCATAATTTTAAAATAACTAATCTGGAATAAATTCACAGTGCTTCAAGCGAACAGTTTTACAAACTTTTACACCGTCAGTGTTGCATTTAATAGTCGTGGCAGCAGAAACTTTGATATTCTAGCTAGAAGTGCTTTGGCTGCTGCCACTATTTAAAAAAACACATTTATTTATATTTAAAATAACCCCAGAATCCCACTAAACAACCATGTAATGCTAAACGGTGGTGTAGAATTAGGATGAACGCTTCAGTCTCCAAACTGAGGCCACTCAATAAGCAGCCTACGTTAACATATTCATTCAATCTAACCTTTCTATAGAACCTTGTGTTAAAAGTTCTGAACTCCCGCTTTAATGACATAATCTCATCAGAATTGGGCCAAATTACCGATTCTGAGCTCAGCTACTCATGAGGATTTTAGCATTTAACGTTAAGCTGAGACCATTTCAAAAAGTGGAGTAAAAATCTCGAAACAAAAATTTCATTTCTGAATTTGACTCTTCAATAAGCTTGCACATGCATAGGATGTGATAGAGTGTTGAGATGGGATTGTTAACAACAAAAAAACTAAACAAAAACAAATTCAAGCAGCCCCTCATCCCTCCATTCACCGCCAAACTCTAAAGAGACTTGAAACCAATTTGTAGCAGAACTTGTGTCTGTGACTACGTTTGAACTCAGTGCCATGGGATATTTTATATATTAGTTTATCTAGATGTTTTCTGCATAACTCTGTACATTTTCTCACAAAGTAAAACAGTGCAATACCAAACATAAGGCTTAAGTTAGTCAAAATCCCCAAATAAATCTGTAACAAACAAAAAAAGTCATATTCAAAAAGCAAAGATATTTTTACAAAAACAAAACAAAAAAATGTATAAAATTAAAAAAAACACAGCACTAATACGAAGGCAATGTGTACTCAAGCAGCAGGATGATTCAAAAATAAACAGCCCAGTCACAATGTTTTGTTAGACTACATAAAAATGATCCAAAAAAGCATAAATATATATATTCAAGCATATATTTTACCTTGTGAAACTATAAATAAAGTCTTTAGCTTTTGTTTTTTTTATTGGCAGTGGATGGAGTGAATTAAAAGGCTTCCCTGATTTGCTCGGATGTTGCCACGTTCCTGACAAACTAGCTGTGATTCATTTTTGCGGGAAAGAAAAGAGGGTGCGACTATTCACATTCAGGTGGGGGTGAGGGGGATTGTGAGGGGGAGGTGCTCACTTTGTCAAAGCTGGCAAATCGATCGACTTCCCGCAGGTTGTGCCGAGGAGGGGAGGAAGGGGCGAAGGGGTCAGCTAAGGGATCCTTGGCAGGCAGGGAGGAGGAGGAGGAGGAAGAGGAAGAGAAGTCTCCTGAAGTTTGTGGGAGGAAGGGTCCTCGTCGGTGGAAGGACTCGGAGGATTCTGTTCTAGAGATGGACGATCGCTTACCTGACGAGGCGAATAGACGAAAACACACAAAGAAGTTGTTTTCTTAAATGACTAACAATGTTCACACAAATGTTAGAAGCATTCAGACGACGTGCGCCTCCTTCAGGTGAGATTCACTGACCTGGAGGTGGAGGGGGAGGTCTGGTTGGTGTACCCGTTTTAGGGGGCAGGGCTGGGGGCACGTCGGGGCTGGTAGACTGGCTGTCATCCTGGAACAGGTTTTTGTTGTTGATGCCAAACTGGTCAGGACTGTTTGACTGGAACAAAAGGTTTGCAAGAATCAATGGTGGACAAAGTTCTGCTCATCTGCTAACCTGCTTTTAGCAGAACTAATTCTTATGAGCGGTTTAGTATTTGCATTATGTTTATTGCCTAATGGACGTAACTCGAGCTAAATTAATATGTTTATTTTCTTTATGGCTAAAATACAGACCACAACTTCTGATTCATGCTTTCAGTTTTCAGGCAAAAACTTTAATTAAAATTTTAAACAAAAACTGAACAAGAATTTGTCAAGAAAAAGCTAAGTCCACACTCAAAACTAGTGGTCAACCTCTACTTTTAAGTATTTTTCTTATTAAAAAAAAAGCATCAATTATTGGTGCACATATCCATCTGAAATGGCTGAGGTGAGTGAATTATTACCTCCACATTTACAGTAATATTACCATCTGTTTCTTGTCTAAAACCAGATAACACTAAAATTACTCTTTCAACTTGAGGAACTTTATCTTAAAATTTATTGGTTTTTTTTTGTAAATTTTAGGTTAAATATTACCTTTGTCAAAGCGCTAAAATCGGCAAAACCTCCTCCAAATGATTCATTACCAAACACAGCAGCAAATGGATCTGAAAAGTAAACAAAACAAACTCAACCTCCTAACCAGTTTACATTTACTGATTTTATTTATTTGCTGTAATGTATTTTTCTCCCCAGAAGGTGGTGCCAAACCATACCTGGATCTGAGGTGGTGCTCACTGTAGTACCGCCTGGAGCGAAGGGGTCATTGGATGGTGCAGGGTCCTTCTAAAAACAAAACAAACCAAAAAACACGTTCATGGTTTAGCTGGAGTGAATACAAAACTGTTCTTGATTCATATAAACTGAAAACTTTTTAAAAGAGGCAATAAATAAATAAATAAATAAATAAAACGTGGGTTGATAGTAGTATTTTAGTTAGAACACACACTAGGCTTTTTCAGGAGACACAATAACTAATGGCAAGACACTGTATTGACACTCCTTTGTTACCTATAGAAATGCCCTGTACCGCACTCAAACTTGCTCTCAGAGAACAATAATCAGCTCAAAATCAATTGGCGGACTGGACGGAAGTCACCCATGGGCCAGATGTGGCCCGGGGTTCGCCACTTAAACAGCCCTGGGCCATGGTGTACTGATTTAAGAAACACGGTTGGGTGGTCCCTGAAAGTTTCAGTCAGTACTATACTGGGCCCACCTTTTCAGTAGTCAGCAATAGCGTTTCTGTGCCTTGCTCGGAGGTACAGAAACACTATAGAAGGGGGTTTCAGTCTCCCATCTCTGCCTCTGCGTGTCTCCTGAACGGAGGTCAGAACACACGTCAGTTACTGTACGGGTCTTCTGAAAGAGCCTGAAAGCACTCAGGTCTTCATTTTTGCTCACATTTGAGTGATTCTCTTCCTCACCCAGGATTTTAAAGGTTAAATGTGAAGAACTTGTAATAAATGTACAAAACCAGAATATAATGGAATAAAACAGATGTTCTAACATGGTTAGGAATGATAACAGTGTGTGAGGATTGCAGCAAAGTTTTTCAGTAGACCCACTCACCAGAGCCAGATCAGAAGTTGGAGAAGAGCAGCTGAAGGGATCTTTCCCTCCATCCTGTGAACTAAAAGGATCCACTTCCCCTGAGGTATTCACTTTGCCTCCAAATAAGTCTGAATCCGCTTTCTTGGTTCCTGTGGAGCTGAAAGGATCCTTGGATGCAGGAGCTGGATTGGTGGTTTTGGAAGCAAACGGATCCTGGACAGCTGCTGCTGGGGCCAAAGCTGTATCGTTTATCTTGGCTGCAAACAGGTCTGGCTCTGGGATGCCGGGAGTAGTACCAAATGGGTCAGCTGGAACTGAAAAAGGGTCCTCTGAGGAAAAAGTAGTGCTGGAGGTCTGTGCAAAAAAAGAGTCCGCAGCAAACGGGTCTGAGCCTTTGAACGGATCTCCTCCAAAAGGATCTGACGTCAAAGACAGAAAAAAAAGATGCACATAAAAGATTTTATCCTGACAGATCATCACTTCAAGTAAAATAGAATTAGAGGACTGACCTGCAACATCAGTTTTTCCAAAGGGATCATCTTTAAATGGATCATCTACAAAAGAAAACATATTCTGAGACATCCAACAGGAACTGATTCTAAATATAAAAACATTAAAGGTATTATATCATGCTTTTAAATCCTTCTTTTTCACATCTAAATCATTCACTTATGGTCTATTTAAAATAAAACTGCACCACTTT